AGAAATAAAAGGTCAATGTGAACGCTGTGCTACCTAACACAATGGAAGTGTTCTTTATTATTTTGTAAAAATGTGTTCGGATAGCACTGGTAAGTTCCACGGCAAGGGCATGTGGTTGCTTTAGGTAGTTGGGATGACAGTGGTCAGCCTTTGGAATATGAATGGAAACTTCTAAACGGTCCGGCAATTTCATTACCTGCAATGAACACAGCTGTGCTCCGCCTTGATAATCTTGTCACCGGAAATTATACCTTTGGGTAGGTTTTTTGGAAATTTTACTCAACTTTCCCACAATTCACAGTTGTGCTAGACTTTCGTTACCTAAAGCAACTGTTGTTAGACTCTCGTTACCGATTCCTGATTATAAAGCTCTCAGTCTTTTCGTCATCGTTTCTCATATCTACTCACATTTTAATTATTTTCAGACTGCTATCGAAGCCGTTGATTTTTTTTTTGCCTCTGTTACTTTTTTTTTCTGTTCGTAAGGTTTTGTACTTTGGAATTTAGATTGATAGTCAAAGATCAACAAGGAGCTACTGATGAGAAACACGCAGAAATAGTTGTTGCTGCAAGTTAGCCTTTATTCTTCTTTCCGCAACTTCTGGACTTAATTGCAAATTAGATTTTCTCAGTCACGCACATATTTCTCTATTATTTGTACATGCAGTAACTTTCCCTTTTAAGAGATGCTTTTTCACATTGCATCGTTTTGACTGAGAAACTTAGCTTTTCCAATCAGAGAGAGAGAATAGGATTAAATCGAATTTTTTAAATAAAGTTTCCAAGTTGTACAGAAAGAGATGATCCACCGAAAGCTTCAATAACGGTTTGTGGTGATCCATTAAGCCGCTCGGCAGTAGATGTTCGCCTCCCGCAAAATAGTCTTCAGCTGTGTGCCAATACTTCTACTGATGATAACGTATGGCTTTTCTATTCATTTCAGTTGCATGTTTTTGAACTAGTTCTTTGGTTGCATCATTAATTGTTTTACTTTTTGTGTTTCTAATACTTTAGCATATCCCTCATCATCTTGTTAATTTTTGATCAGAGGGAATTTTTTAATTGTGTAGCTTTAAAAAAAAAAGTTATTAGCTAGAGATAAAATCATCAATCTAGTCCGTGTTTGGGCATCAAAAAAATAATACAGCCATCAGTTTGTTTTTTTTTAAAGCGTTATGTTGCAGGGTATTGCAACGTATAAGTGGTTTCGGGTGGATAACTATACAACCAAACTTTCTGTCGATTTTACAGGTTTTCCTTTTCCTATTTTCACATCACTTTAGTTTTATAAAAAAATTATTAGCGAGAGGACAACTAAAGGTTAAGGAAAGAAAGAAATTCATGGCCAGCTTGTGATATTGACTGTGTTTCCAGAAGTCCATTTTACGAGATTCGAATGAAATGCATAATGTTTCTCAATAGATTTACTTTCCTTTGACGATCTCATAACCTACGTGCTACCTGACACTTGCTGTATGATTGAATTTGAGTGCTTCCAGTCCGCCCCATCCCTTTATATATATTATATATATATATATATATATATATATATATATANNNATATATATATATA